CGCGGCCTCCCCTCCCCGCCGGCCGGCGCAGTTCCTGCGGACTGTGTGCTGGGGCGCCTCGGGCTGGACTTGGGGCTGCACATTTTGCGAAGAAGTAGAGCTGTTTATTTGGGGGGAAATATTTTTGCTTATTTCTTTATTGGTCTTTGGAGAAGAAAGATCACCAGACTACTCTTCGCTCTAGGAGGTGGGGGCATGGATTTGATCTATCCACTTGAACACAGAGACATTAGAGTTAAATCTAACTTTGAAAGTGAGAGTGAACTAAAGAGATGATATGCTCATTTGGGAACACGGACAGCCCTCCCACCCTCATTACAGACGCTCCCAGAGGCCAGAGAGATGTAGAAACATCACATCTCACTCTTTGCACAAAGATTTGAGCATCTGCCAAACTGCCAGGCAGAAGACGAGTCTTTTTTGCCACATTCCCACTGTGTGACCTTGGGCAAGTTACTTCACCTCTGACTTACACTGGAGATCATTCCCGACAGGCCACCCTAATGGGGAAAGAATAAGGATCAGACGCCAAGGTGCCCTGAGAATGCCTGGGAGATGTTAATGAGTCATTTTCGTTCCCTGGTGGATTAAGAACCGTGGACAGAGGCAGAGCCAGCCTGACTGCTGCTGGGAGATCGCCAGAGGAAAGCTGAGGGCCCTTGCCTTATGGGCGACTTAGATGCAAACTCTGCAGGCAGGGCAAAGACTAGGGAAGGGGCTTTTGGTGGGGTCAGTATTTAGCTAGGAAGACTCCCAGGAACCTGAGCCCAGCTTTCTGGCTTCTAGCAGAAGCGCTTCTGAGAAGGGGAGGATGAAAGAGAAAAGGTCTCTTGTTCTGCATGAGCTTTGAGAAACAAGGGCAGTTGTCATCTTCTCCACTGTAGAGAAAAATGCTAGGCTAGGGTAAGCTGCTTCTCCCAGGATGGCCAGCCCTGGTCTTGGACACTTTTCAAAGGAGGGGAGTCTCACTGGCTTGGCCTCCTCCTGTTGGCCTGCTCCCTTTTATAGTCCAGAACACAAAGGCAGGTCAGCTACTTGCTGGCCAAGCAAGCGCTAACTTTCTCTGAGCCATGTAGATGACCCACCTATCCTGTAGATATGAAGGCAAGCTGACTAACATAGGCCACCCCACTCACTAGACCCAAGGAAAAGGTAGGTGTCCTTTTCCTTCAGGCTCCACAATTTCTCTTGTGAAGTGTGAGCCATGTAAGATTGGGAAGAGTTGGCTATGGCAAGCCCTCCCTTGCTGTAAGACAGTGGGGTCCAGGCACCTTCTGAGTACTCTCTCCAGGGTGAGTCAGCCCCTGCAGCTGCTGGCTGCTCGGAGTACAAGCCTAAGTGAGTCACCTGGTGCCCTAGAGCCAGGTGGTTCTATCCTGGGATCTACATGGCTGGTGGCAAAAGCCCAACAGACTTAGATGCCTGAAAACCTGCCCCTAAGTTTGGCCCTGATCTCAGTACATTCTATTTCTAGCTCTTGTTCATGTCAGTCCATTCTAAGGACATGAATGCACTTCAGCCCATGGTCACTACATTTATTTAATAAAAATACTCAAAAATTATGTTGGGGGTATTTTGAGACACAGTCACACTCTGTGGCATCAAACTCAAAGCAATCTTCTAGCTTCGGCCCATCTCTTCAGGGAGAGGATTACAGGAGTGAACCACATGCCTGACTTTTTACAAAAATTTCTCAAACACCCATGATGCACTAGATGTTGAGGGTACAGCAAGAAGTATGCCTTTTTTGCTCTCATGGAATTTACATTCTAGTAGAAGAGTCAGAAAAATAAAAATAGGAATCCGTAATTAAAAAAAAAAAAAAAAAAGAGTTGGAAGCCGGGCATGGTAGTGCTTGCCTTTAATCCCAGCATTGGGAAGCAGACGTAGCTAGATGAAATGAAGATGGCCATGTGGCCTCCACCTGTGTGTGGGAGCACTGGGGCTTGGAGACCATTATGGGCTATGTTGTAAAGTCCCAAGAAACCTCCTTGCATGGCTCCTGCTTCACAAGACAAATTGTGGAGCCTGAAGGAAAAGAATACTACCTTGCCCGTGGGTCTGGGAGTGGGCTGGCTGTCCTATCCTCCTGCTAGGTGGGAGTGTAGGTCAGTGACAGAGCTCTTGCCAAGTAGCTAAATGTAAGGTGCTGGGCTTGCTCCAGTGCTGGAGGCCAGGGGAGGAGGAACCAGTAGTATCAGCCACAGAGAAGAAATGAAGGAAGGCGAGGCTTCAGGGTTGTCTAGGAAGAGCGACAGATGACACAGCCATAGAGAGAAACCCTGAAGGGTTAGAAGGCATGTTCTGAATTGTTGATAAAGGGACAAAACCATGTGACTTGAACTTGTGTGACTTCACTACTCTGAGAAAGCTGGGCTTGGTCTAAGTCTTTCTAAGAGCCCTGAAACCACCTGGGCTCATATCATGGAGACAGAAGGGAAGTATCAGGGGAATGATAAGGGGAGGGGGGAGCTAAGGGAAGAGGGAGGTGTGCTGGGGGCTGGTTAGACTGTGAAACCTTCCTAACTGGCCTCGGGTGTGGTGAGAGAGGACCTACTGCTGTCCTCAAGTAAAGAGTGTTAAAGCTGAGAGCCCTAGAAGCATTCTTCCTGGAAGCCATCAGGGACAGCCTGTCTCCCACTCCCATGACTCTTGCTCTGGAGAAAGACTTTGTCTTTCCTATTCCATTCTTGCCTGAAAAAGAGTAGGAGGAAGTGGCATTAGGCTGAATCAAAAGATGACTCAAATAGCTGTTGGGCAAAGTTGATTAGATACATGTGATAGTACAGGGTCTGGTGCCACCTTCGATGCTTTGCTTCCAGACCTCAGGGTTAGGGTCACTGTGGAACCATCATGGGCTACCAAGGTAGCTGTTGGTCTCCTCTGGGGACAGAGGTGAAGGCAGCAGGGGTAAAGCCATTCCTGCACTGACTCAGAGAAACTGGGACCTCCAGGAGCAGGGCTTTGGGGAGATGAGCTATGTCATGGTATTTTATAATTAAATGTTTCATGTTCTCAAAAAGGATGTTTATTTTTATCCAAAGTCAAAATTATTTGTGCTGGGGGACAAACCTGGGTTTTATGTATGTCGGGAAACTGCTTGACCACAGAGCACATCTCCAGTGGTATGTGCTCTTAATACCAGCTAGTTGGGAAGCTGAGACTGGAGGATTGTGAAATCAAGCCCAGCCTGGGCAACTTAGACCTGTTACCTCAAAAAAGCAAAAATAAATAAATAATAAATCTGGGCATAGCTCCTTATATCTATAACCCAGCACTCAAGAGGCAAGAACAGAGTTTAAAATCTTCCCAGCTACATAGCAAATTCCAAATGAGCCTGGACTTATTGTATTAAAAAAAAAATTAAGGCAAAGATAGGAGCTGGAAGATGGCTCATCCATTAAGAGCACTGGCTGTTCTTGCAGAGGGCCAGGCTTGGTTTCCGGCACCCACCTGGCAGGTGGCTCACACCTGCTTTTAACTCCAGTTCCAGGGAACCCAATACCGACTTCTGGCTTCTTCCAGCACTAGCCATGTATATGGTACATATACATGAAAACACAAATTAAACTGGGTGGTGGTGGCACATGCCTTTAACCCCAGCACTCTGGAGGTAGAGGCAGGAGGATCCCCGTGAGTTTGAGACCAGCCTGGTCTACAAGAGCTAGTTCCAGGACAGCCTCCAAAGCCACAGAGAAACCCTGGCTCGAAAAGAGCACTTGTTGCTCTTTCATAGAACCCAGGTTTGATTTGCAGCATCCACTCAGTGGCTCACAACCATCTGTAACTCTAGTTTGGGGGATTGGAT